TGAGCCGAATAGTGTATAATTACTACTGTGAATACGTTAAATATGTTTTTCTCAATAAACCTTATATCATATAAATTATAGTTGGTATACAAATTTAATTATCAATACTATATTAAGTATATATTTAATAATAACTTGTTAATAAGTTTGGATATCAAGATTTTATTAAAGTAAAATTTTAATTTATAAAAGATTTTGTTTATACATTTTATTTTTCAATGCCTATGTTGGTTTTGTGAGTGGAATGGTGTATAATTACTATGTATGAATATGTTATGGTAACATGTATTTTCTGCAAAAACAGTATATTATACCAAATTATAATTGGTACTGAAAATTTTGTACCATTAAACGTATAGTGACTACTTAATTACTATAGGCCAAACATCTTGGCTACCATTACCACCATTCTAACTTGGACAAACCTTAACATAATATTAATAGCATTAAAACTTGGACAACTAAGAAAATATTCCATATATACAAATCATACCATCAATATCATTAGTACCGTACTTAAGGTGGTGTTTAACTATTTATGAGTAAATAATGCAATGGTTTATGTGTAAACATAGCCTAAATACAACACCTGGATAACCCTAAATATACAAAATATATTTTGGACTTGGTGTCAAAAAAAAATATGTATCTATGTTATACATATTATCTCCGTACTAACTATTTAAAGTTGGTGGATTCTTCATGTGTTGATCCCGATCCACCCTTTTCTCTAGTTTATTTTTAATTCACTCAAATTTCTTTTTCAACTTCTTGATTGGTCTCTTGAGTTTCAAGAACAACTTCCACATTTACCTACCCATCATAATTTACTTGCACATATTCACCAACTTCTATATTTTCCTCTATAGTCTATATTAACATCCACATCCACATTTTGCGTGAAATTCATATCTTATATTCCCTTAACTAACTTCCTCAAACATATCTAAAATGACATTAACATCTACAAAACTCTGATGTATTTCAAAACCACACTTCATTTTTAGGTTACAACCCATGAAAATCACGGATAAAAAAGAAAAACAATATTTATAACTAAAAATGGTAATGAAAAGTCAAAGATTTATAAAAATTTATTGAATTAATAAGATAGAAGTTTTGTTTGGTAAAAAATGATTGTGGATATTAATCATATAACATATTTGCTATTCTAACTCTAATTTGTAAATTATATATATATATATATATATATATATATATATATATATATATATATATATATATATATATGTTCCATTAATATTGGGGCGGTTTAGCTATAAAACTAAAACTGGTTCATTTGTTTTCGGTTAGCAAAATATAGAAATCAAACAATCGGTTTAACAAAACATACCCTGTTAAGTGAAAAAAAAAACATTTTATCATTTTTTATTTTGAAAAAACTTGGGTCGGGTACCTGTTCAGTAAAAAATAAGTTAGAGTAAATTACTGAAATCGTCCCTATGGTTTGGTCAAAATTACCCGTTTGGTCCCTAACTTTTTTTTCGCACTCGGATAGTCCCTATGGTTTGATTTTGTTGCGTTTTTCGTCCCTTACATACATAAAGTTAGAGACCAAAGGTGCAATTTTAACGAAATCATAGGGACGAAAAAGATAACAAAATCAAACCATAGGGACAATCCGAGAGCAAAAAAAAATTAGGGACCAAACGTGTAATTTTGACCAAACCATAGGAACGATTTCAGTAATTCATTCAATAAGTTAAAAGCAAAAAATATTTCCCCGTTAAGTCAAAACGTGACTAAATGGATCAAGTTTTGTCCATATTAAATAAAAAATAAGCAACATTTTTATCTTTCTTAGTTAGGCACATATAGTACACTTGTAAAATGCAATAAATAATAATATTTTTATCCTAAAATTTTATGTTTTTAGGCCTTGGGGTATGGAAGCATTTTCCTATGTGGACAAGATGTTCACTAGTGAACACCAACCCAAGACCTAGTGATTGTCTTGTGGAGTGGTGGCTATCACGGACATTCACCAACATTTGTGTCTATCTCCCCCTCTCTTCTTTTTCTTTCTCTTTCTCTCTCTCTCTTTCTCTTATTGATTGGTTCTTCACTAGTTCTTCACTAGTGAACACCACGCCTAATGCTAGTAAACATGTAGTGGAGTGATTATTTGGATGACTCTTCTTGATTGGTTCTTCACTAGTGAACACCACCCCCAATGCTAGTAAACATGTAGTGGAGTGATTATTTGGATGATTTGGCAGCCTTAAATGTGTAATAACCTCAAAACCATACCTTTTAGCCTTATTACCTTGCAACCCATTTAAAAAAAACTTCAGCAAGCAGCTTTTTAGCATTGTTAGATCTGCAGGAAAGTAAAAGAAATCCAAAATTAACCATAAAAATGTTTTTTTTTTTTTTTGCTAAACAGTCAAAGTCAGTCCGGTAAAGAGGAAACCTTTTAAATATGTGTAGGTTCCAAAATTCATTGAGGCATTTCTACAAAGATCTAGTGGGTCCAATTCATGCTCCTTCATAAGTATATTGCAAAATCCATATCAAATCCCTGAAATAAAAATAAGAAAAAAAATCCATAAGTAAAATTTCCATTATTAAATCGCTGCAACTTCTTTTTCCTTGCTCATTTCTTAGAACAATGTATCCACAAGTTCCGATATACAATAACTTAAAGACATGAAGCCGAGTAATAAAAGAAAGCATTTGAATCTTGAGCTATTAAGTTAATATCAGTTCATAACACATATTATAATGGTGTTCAATAAAAACCCAAAATCAACATCAAGATAGTCCTGAAGAAACAAAACATGAAATATGGCAGAATTTGATTAAATCCCAAAAATTACAAAACATGAAATACATTGAGCATACCTAATACCAATGTACAATTCAAGAAACTAACAAATAAAAAACATATATCTCCTTACAATATGTATAGGGTTCCAATTCAAAGTAAAAGTCCATATTTGCACATAATGAAAGTTTTCGAATAGCAAAAACACCATAAACCCAAGTTCAACCTTATATAGATTAATTCACTAAGAACTAAAAAAATATATATTGTTTTAGAGGCAGACAATGTTACCGGTGCCTTGTATCAACACTGCCACATTCTTCCAACCTAGTATAACTTAGAGCTCGTTTTACCAGATACACAACATTTTCTTTCAGAGTAGCAAGAGATGTGAGATAGAAAGGCGGTGGAGAAATCGATTCATATTCGGAGAAGATATGCTTCCTGATTTATAGTGATTACCTTTAACGATTTGTTGTAGATTTTGCTATTTTGTGGGATTGATGGAGAATAAGGGAAATTTTGTTGAAGAGATGACACGAAGAGATCCTTCAATTTCGGAAATGAGTTATACTCATTAATGATTATATGATTTTCCAAATATTAAGTAAAATCGTGGAGGGTATAAAGGTAAAATCATTTTTGACTGAAAAATGAATGTAGAAGAGGTATGTGTAAAAAAGTGTCTTTTATTAGATAGATAGAAGTAGATTTATCTCCCTTGTTACCTATACATGATCAACCTTTAATAGGATGTTATTATGTAATTTTGATTTTTCAATTTGTCTCATAGTTTCCTCGTCAAATTCAGTATCAAAACTACTCAGTCACAACGTGTGTTAGCAAGCTAGACTCATGTCAAGCCACCACATGCCCCATTTGGAATGGTCAATCACCACATACCAAGGTTCTAAATAACGTAAGGTGTGACTTGGATACAATGTCAAAGCTCAAGCTTTTTTGAGTCGTAGTGAGGCATGTCGTTTGTAAAATGTGACTTAAGACGGCAATTTTGTATATAGTTAATAATTTTATATGTATTTTTAACTATTATTAATTTTTATATACATATGTGACTTAATGCGACATTTTATCAAAACTTAGCAGCAAGTACAACCCTTGAAACCATGACACGCCATTACGGAGCCGTGACGAGCTTTTTAGAACATTGTCAAATACTAACAACAATTTAAACTTAACATTATTTAAACATTAAACCTTAGTGTGAGATTCAATACCTCAACTTTTAGGCTATTATTTCAGACTCTATACGTCAATCATATTTACTATTAGAAATAATGCTTTTGGAACGCCAACACATAAATTAATTTGTACAAGTGATGTGTAGTTGGCTTGTTTAAGATGCCACCAACTACTTTAGGGTACACATTTAAACAATTAGAAAATTAAAATTCTTTCTAGGAATATTTACCTATTCTTTATTCCCATACTTTCCAATAGATGATCAAATTAATTATTTATCCACTTCATAAAGCAGAGAACAATCTCATCCTAAACAATATACACGTTTGCACAATTAAGAAATAGGGCAATTACTAATCCAGCCAAATTAAGGAAGTCATTAGCAATTTATAGTAAAAAATTAGTAAATGTCCAATTATAGCCCACGAAACCGTAGGTTTCAATATTCGTCTACTGTTTCGTGTTTTGTATAAAAAAATTCATTTTTAGGATACAAAACCGTATGTTTTTTAAAACCTACGGTTTCCCAAACCGTAGCTACGGTTTTGGGTGAAAAAATACGGTTTTTTTTTTTTTTTTTAAATCTACTGTTTTGGGGGTTTTAACTACTGTTTTGGGGAAACCGTATGTTTCGAGAGGAAACCGTAGGTTTTAAAAAACCTACGGTTTTGTATCCTAAAAATGAAAAAAAAAATTATACAAAACACGAAACAGTAGACGATTTGGTGAAAGAGTAGTCAACTTACAGTTGACTACTCTTTTATGGACTATTTTTGGCTAAGTGGTTTTTTTTGGCTATTTTTTGTTAAGTAATTAAGGATTTTGGCTAGATTTGTATTTTCCCAAAAAAACAAATCAAATTGCTACTTTTCTTTCTTTTGCAAATAACAGCTAAAACTTAAAATCAAATAACCAAACATATCCATTTATAACAGTAAATTACACCAAAATCATTCACTGCAAATAATCCTCAAAAACTTCGAAACAAAAGAACAAGAACCCCCCACCCCCACCCCCTATTACATACACTTATGACTTATCAACAACACAAATTTACCGATCATTTTAGCCTCCAGCCACGTCGTCCTCCGGCGTCGTATCCTGCGCCACGCTGTCTTCTATCCAACTTTCAACATCACGGCGGTTGACACCCGCCACTTGGCTATCCTGCGCCTCCTGTTCATCTTTCAACTCCTTTTCTTTCAGTTTACCAGATTTAACTTCAGTTTTCGATAACGATTTTGTGTTGGGCTTCTTGGAAGAAGAACCAGGGTTAAACCTAGACGACGACGTCGTTTGACCTAATCTACCGGAAGTCGCCATTTGTTCCGACGACTTGCTCACTGTAGACAAAGAACTCTTGCTACTTCCCAATTTTGGTGAAATCGGACGCGTAGTTGGTGTCTGTAATTATAAACAATCAGTTAACCCTAAAAATCTTGGAAAACCCAATTCAGAGAGACGAAGTAAAAGGTTAAAAAGGTACCTTCTTGAGTTCAATTTTTGGAGGCGGTTCTTTGTAAAATTCCGGCATTGGTTTAGCTTTAAACGTCAAGCTCTTCCTTAGTTTCTTTAACTCCTTATCTTGGTTTTCCTGAATTTACAAAATCTAATTTAGTTTCTGATTAACTTTTGATTGAGAATTGAGTTGAAGAACAAGTGAATAAAGTCAACACCTTTGATTTCGCTTGCATAGTGGTTTTTTCTATTTGTTTTGCTTGAACCTTCTCCTCGATCTTCGAATAAAACTAGAAAACAAAATCGAAATACAATCATGATTTAGTTTTGTTACAGTCTTACAGACTTACAATCCATTGTTAATGTCAAAAAGGTGTGAAAGAAAACGAATTTTGCACATCTTTTCTTCTTTCTGCTCGTTCGTCTAACCGGAAAGAGAAGCTGGAGGTGCTGTTCCGGCGACGCCCACCGGGAGTGGCGGCGTGTCTAACAAAAAAAAAAAAATCATCATAAATCAAACAATGAAACAATGGATTATGGAATGATAAGTTAGGTTAAGATTTATACGGCGAAGCAGTTGAACTGGCACCATCGTCGTCTTTAATTCGCCGACCAATTTTGATTAATGGTTTCAATCCATGATGATGATCATCTGATCTGTAATTGCGAAAAAGAGAAGAGAATCAAAATGTCAATCGAATTCAAGTCTACGAACGTTTTGATTATTGATTCAACTTACAGAGGCTGTTCAGGAGGACAACCTTCAGTTTCTTTTGATTTGTTAGTCTAGAAATCGAAGAAACAAACAGACATCAATAATTCAATACTAAGAACACGAAAACTTTCAAAGATACGAAAAGGGTAAACGGAATTCACCTGCGATAACCCACTTGATTTAATTCCGCGGTATGGTTTTCGAGGATATGATCGAGGAGAAACTGATGAAGACGATGAAGGTTCATCCTTTGGAGACCCCACAACTTGTTTAGCAATGGTGGTTTTCGCAGGAAGTGATAAACTTTGAGTGAGACTCGGCTTTGGTTTACTACTACCAAATGCGCTCTTACCAGTGCCATTTTTGGGCTTTTTACTGTTGTTCTTCGAAGTAACCTCTTTGGTAACCGAAGTTTGCGTTTTAGGGTCATTAACATTCGTCGAAGATTCATCCGCGATTGCTTTTGATGAATCGAGATCTTCGTCAACTTTGTTCAAGTTTTCGGGATCAGGATCCACCACTTTCGTATCCGCATTCTCAACAACTTCATTAACGTCAAGAACAGTAGTTTCAGGAACCCCATTTCCAGAGTCCATCCCTGTTCGAAAAACATCAATTTCAGTACCAAATCGATGAATTCCAACATAATTGTATCTAAAGTAAACAAACCCCAGATCAAATTATCAATAACTTAGACCCTAAATCCAAAAAAGTTACTAATCCTTCGTCTGTATGTAACAATCAAAGAATATCATGAAACTGAGAAGATAGACAAGTGGATAAACATTAAAACAATCAACCAAGAACAAAACTGAGAATCAAAGTACATAAGACCCAGAAGTTGAAACTGTCAAAAGAATGAATGAATGAATCATCAAACAACTGTAAAGTGTAAACATAACATTCGTGATGAACTTGAAGGGTATATGTAATTATGTACCCTTGATTTTTGGATTAAACGGAAGCCCTGAGAATGATCTGTGGAGACTGAAGAAGAAGAAGAAGAATGAAAGGAGAAGTTGTCTTGAAAATTGAAATTCAAATGTTATTGCAGTTGAATATAGAGGGAGTACATGGACCCGATCATGGAAGAGTTGGTGGGGGTAAAATTGGAATAACCGCAGGGGTAAAATGGGAATACATGATGATCGTGACGGAGGAGAACGTGGCCGGAAAATGGGGGAAGAAAAAAACAGGTGAATATTGTGATGGTGCCAACGTGGCACAAAGGAACAATGTTATTGGTCGCACGTTTCTGTTTCCTATTCCGACCCTCGTACCCCCAACAACCCCACAGAATCCAGTTGTCCCATCGTGCACCTTGATGTTTGGTTTTATTTCTATGTTAGTATTTGATTATTATGTTTTTAGTAAAAAGCTAGGTTTTTTTATGTTTATATTTTGATTATTTGATTGTCGGAATCAAATAATCATATTTAATAATAACAGCTTTAACACAATTGATTATTTAAGAAAGTATTCTATGATCACCTCACATTTTAGTCATAAATTAAAGATTTAAAAAAACATATAATATATACTTATTTGAAGAGTACAAATAAACTGTGAATTATATATATGATAAATTGATAAGGATTTGTTGATAAATAACATTTAAAAAAAATACTATTATAATTGTTAGAATTTTTTTTTTTTTTTTTTTTTAAAATTTAGACAACTTAACATATAAGAATATTTTTGGTTATTTATATATAACTTTTTTCTATATAATCACAATTTATCATATACTTAAAAATTAATTATCTGATTTTTAGGGGGTGTTTAGCAAAAAAAAAACTTATTACTTACTAGTTTATAACTTATTAACTTATAAGCTAATAAATAAGTGTAGGAATTTATGAAAAAAATTACTTTTTAGTGGTTTCCCACCACAATAAACTCTTTTTATCCAAACATTTTTTTTTAACTTATAACGGTTTGAAACTGCTAATAAACTTTTTAAATAAGCTTAGTCAAACACCCCTTTAAAACTTCAACATGTCGTAACACCAAATTTAGACGATTTAACATATAATAATTTTTTTGTTACAACCGATTTTGCAATTTTAATTGTTTTACGGCATGAAAATATTTACAAAATTTTCATCTGATTATCCGAACATTTTGGGATGTTAGTTTTTCCAAATGTTTGAACTTGTTCACGTTAAACGAGTGGGTGATATGTTATTATTCATGGTTGTCTTGGCCTATTTGTCATTATGTATATATTTAACTAGTTGTGAGTTCCGTATACAGTATGAGTTTATTAGAAAAATTAAAGATCTAAAATTTAAAAGTTTGAATTTATAAAAAAAAATGAGAAATATATTAAATTATTGAAATTGAAATGCTAATTTTTCTTTAAAATTTAAACAAATAACTTAAATAAATAAACAAAAATAATAATTAGGCTTTAATTTAAGAATTTTAAATTTGAAGGAAAGTTACATTAATGAAATTGATATATATATATATATATATATATATATATATATATATATATATATATATATGTATGTATTATTATATCATAAAATTATTCATTTAAATATTATGTAAAATTGAACAAAATGGAAAAAAAAGACTATAATATGTCATATAAAAAAATTAAAATAACCATAAAATGACATGTATCAAAATGAACGAGAGTGTACAATGCAAGTGTAGAGTACTGTTCATTTTGTAACATCTGGATTTTTGAGGTATTTTGTATTTAATTTTTGGCATGTTTAGGGTCGCCACGACGTGGTGAAGGACCACCATGACGTGACGAGTCTGGCTTAAAACACGTGTTTCATTTTAGCTGCCACGATATGGCAGCAAGTGGCCACGAAGTGGCACCGTCTTATTGCAAATCCTAATTTTCGGGGTTTGCTCCCTATTTAAAGGAATGAGGAGGCTAGGGTTAGCTCATCCTCAATCTTCATCAGCCTCCTCAAGCATTGAAGAAACCATTATCTTTCCTTCCATTGTTGAAGCTCTTTTTGGTGCTCTTAGAAGCTATTGAAGGAAAAAGGAGGAAATGGTGACCTAAAGATCTGTTGGATTAGATGTCTAAGCCTATAACTATTATTGGTATATACTCGACCCGAGAGTAGCATAGTCCATTTGGGTTGCATATCATCAGGACAATTTGTTAGGATGGACTCTTGAGAGAAAGGTTATATATGATTTATTAAAATATTATAAATTCTAATATATTAATATGAAATCATATGTTTTATTAGTATTGATCAAGAATTAATTTGGAATTAATTTAGTGATCAAAAGAGACTAATTAAATCTATGGGTACTAATTATGATAATTAGTTATATTTATATGTGTTGGGATTATGATCCATGTTGGACCAAGTTTATGTATGGATACATAAAGAGTTGGGTCACATGAACCATGGATCATAAACCCATGGGTATGAATTTGGGTTATACCCATGACCCTTGAAGTCCAACATATAAATACATGCTCTTAACCTAAAACGCCTACATGCTTGTTCTTGGAGTTCATGGATGTTTTTGGGTGCATGGAATTCTCTCTCAAGTTTCACCTTTATCCATGATGTGTTGTGACTTCATTTGGGGCTTCCACACTATTGGGGATAAGCTCTTTAAGGCCAAATTTATCAAGTTCTACAAGCTACACAAAGAGATAAGCTTCTAACTAGTATTTTATGTGGTTTATATCATTTGTATGCTAGTTGTAGGCTTAAAGCTTTGGAAACCATTTACAAGTATAATTAGTGAAAACATAGATCTAAAGCTTCTAGGGTTATATGTGCACCATAGGATGTTGTAGTATACAAAACCCAACAAGATCTAGCAAGAAAGTTCCATTCTTCACCTTGACACTCTTCTGGACCTTTGTAAGTGTCCTATACTCGATTTGTAGCATGTTAGGTTTCTAGATCTTGAGTTGTGCCCCATAATCTTCTTGTTCTAGTAAGTTAGAATAATGGGATCTCATAAAGTTTGCAACTTTATGAATCTGTGGGACATTTGGGATAGTTTGTGGCTTGGATCTGAAGTTTGATTGTATTTTGAATTCATGCATGGGATTTAGGTCATAAACTCTCATTTCGACTTAATATAGGTTCAAGACATGTATTGGACATGCATGTCTATAAAGCACCAACTTTTATGTTGGTTTTAGTGTTAGAACACTTCTGGAAAAGATGTACTTCAGACTTAAAGGAATAAGTGCTTAATGGTTAAGCTCATGCCTTGTGGAACCCATGGTTTGAGTTTTTGGACCTTTTGGATGGTCCTAATGGTTAAAGTCATAAACTTTACCCTTCTAGACCATGTTTTGGACTAGATCTGGGCTTTGAAGCTCATTGGGTTGAAGAAAACATCTTAATCCCATTAAGCTGTTTGGAACCCAGTAACCACGACGTGGCATCAGGTTGCCATGCCGTAGCGACCGGGGTCAGATCGGCTGTTTTTGTCACACCCCCAAACCAGAACGGCGGAAACGTTCGGGGGCGGAGGACGTCATATTCAGTATCATAACAATTGAATAGTAAAGAAAGTACACACCACCATAACATATATATTTGAAAAGTTTACATGATTGTAAGTGTTACATGTTTAAATATCAAATACAATATGGTGTTCCAAAATATGTTACTAACGCCAGCGCGTTAGTCTTCAAAAGTAGTTGCTACCTGGCTTAGCGATTTCCTGAGAATACAAGTTATTTCAAAGAAAAAGTGTCAACATTTAAGTTGGTGAGTTCATAAGTATATATTTGTATGCCATTCGAAAGTTCGTGTTTGTTTTCCAGAAAATCCGATATTTTCTCATAAAAGGAGTTATGAATCTTTGTTTGTATAGAATGAATGTATCGAACCAGGAAAAACCTATATTTTCCTAACAGTGAGGAGTAGTCTCAAATGTCCAAGACTATGATTTTGTAGGTAAATATGTCATACTTAAAATAATGATGCATAGTTTTATTAGTAAACAAAACTATAAGAAGTTTGTAATTTGGCGCAGGAAAAACCTATATTTTCCTAACAATGAGGAGTAGTCTCAAATGTCCAAGACTATGATTTGTAAGTAAATATGTCATACTTAAAATAATGATGCATAGTTTTATTAGTAAACAAAACTATAAGAAGTTTGTAATTTCGCGTAAAGATAATTGTAATATTACTTTTCCCGCAAAAACATAAATACCATAATAATTGTCTATCCTGTGAGTTTTCATAACCGTACTATGATGGGTTTGCCTGCGGCGACGTTCTTCAGGCGTCGAAGCGATATGATATTTGTCACCCCGCGGACTGTAGCTAACAGTCAGGGCGCGTGATCATCAGTCCCGTATAGATCTATACACACATATCACGTTCTCACAACATAGACTCTGGTTATAAAGCAAGGCTTTCTAGTGGTACCTTGACAGGTATGGTGAAGACGATTGACTCACATATTCTCAATTAAGTCACGTATTTGGAAAGATATATGAATGATTTCTGAAATGATTACCATTTCTACAGTGTTAACAAAGGCATAATAATGAGTTGCATTTTCTTATATAAACATGATGTTATAGTTGAAATGGTTACTCTTAGTATGATGTAGTATGCAGATATATAAATAAAACATATTTCTATTTATAAAACATATTGTACCCCATGAGGGTAAAGTTGCGATGTATGATGTTTTGCATGATAATAATTTCATAAGATAGTTAAAACAACAGTATGAAAAGTATAGCAAAAGATTTGTGTTTCACACGAGTTTAACCGTGTGTTTACTTGTATTCCCCCCCCCCCCTTAAAAGCGTTTAAAAGCATTTAAAAAGCATTTGAAAACTTAGTGATAGGGGTATGAACTCACTTGGTTGAAGTGGTAGCTTGAAGAAGGTGAGACAAAGATCGAGCAGAACTTCGACTGGAGAAAGCTGATTTCTCGGGATTCTCGGGAATCTCGGGAATCTCGGGAGCGTAACACTTACTTCGAGACTTGGATGTGAAAACTGGGATGGCTTCGAGGGGTTAAACGCAGAGCATAAGCACGAGGAAGAGAGGAATTGAGCATTAAACCCGGAACCCCTTGGGTTCTATTTATAGGCTGAATTTGGGGTCT